ACATATATATATATATACACTACACACACACACACACACACACATATATATATATATATATATACATATATTATAGTAATAATATAGAATATATATATATATATATATATATATATATACGTATATATGTATATACATATACATATAGCCCGCGTGAACATATGTGGACCTGATTCTGGCCCACGTAAACATACGTTGTCTTATTTCTTGCCCACTTGAACTTACACTGTCCTGTTTCTGGCCCAAGTCAACATACGTTGTCTTGTTTCTTTTCCACTTTAACATACGTTGCCCTGTTTTCTGACCCTTGTGAACATATCCCGTTAAGTAGAGAATCACAATATCTTAGCACATGTTACCGTCACTTGCACAATGCTAAATGTAATATGCCAAAATATCGTCGACATGTACGTCATTCCCCAGTGGAAAATTTGGCAAGTATATTTTCAGTGGTTGCAATAAGGAGAATGTGTTTAATGACTTTACATTACTACCGTATTGAGTGGGCTCATCTCGGTATTAAAGGTGACTAGGATGTACCACCTAGGTTAAGACTTCCCCATGTGGAATTTGTAACTTCAGGTGCATTTGTGTTATACAATACTCAAGTGCACCGTAAATGGCATCTACAGTTAAGTTTTCAAAACACAAAATTGAACGTTTAAAATCCGGTTGGACATATGAGACAATTCGGCCCTGGTACATTTGAATCTGAACCATTCTCTCGCCTCTCTCCGCCTAAAACCTATTGACAACTTCACATAGTCTGTATATACATATACATCACTATTTCTGAAGATGACAAAAAAATAAAAGCGAAGCAAAGCATGTGTAAAAAGTTACTCTCTTCCATTCATTGTGCTTTTTACACGCGTGTATGTACATCCACGTATGTTAGCAACGCATGACATTATACGCACGCGAAAACCCTGAGTGGTTGCATTTCGATATGCACGAGTGAGAATAAATACGACGTTTCAGTTGTAATGAGAGATACGAATTTATTTACTTGTCTATAACACTTTTGTCTTATGAAGCGTAAACTTTACTTGCTTCCTCGATGATCGCCATCACTTTCCTCTCGAAAGTCGCCGTATTTATAGGTGCATTCGTATTATAGAACGGATTACATATTGTATCTATATAGAGTGAGTGCAATTGCTTGAAGATCTGTATGAAGGAACAGTGCGAGAGCGTTAGATTACTCATAAACTTACTAGGATATTCAGGACCTGAAGTGCAAGTGCGTGCGGGGTCCCAGAAAGTTGTGAGAAAATTGGCTACTACAGTCGGCTAAGCCGAAGCTACCTCATATATTATATTCTGCGGTATAGGGCTCGTAGGTTTACGGTGGTCTGCCACCAGAGATTCCCATTCAAATGGAGGAATGTCACACATGTCTCGTACAGGCGTGTATGTACTTAGGGGTCGCTTCTACGTGGAAAATATAGGAACAAACTCCTAGAAATAGACAATGAGCTTTGGATTCTAAAGAAGGTTGTGAACTATCATACTACGTTACAGCTGTATCTGGCTGAATCTAACCATGGGCATAACATTCAATCATTGCTAATTGACCTGATAATTTGGGACAAAAGTTCACACTAGTGTCGAATCGGTGAATCCCACACAAAGTACTGATGCGTTCAAGGCAACTCTAGAAGTCGACAGCTATAGCTATGTATGCATCAAATTTAACTTCACATACAAGTACCACGTCCTGACATTCACATGGATTCAGCATGCATATCTAGTGCGTGTTCTGGGTAATACGTGACATACCCCTTTCATCTTCGTCACAGACCCTGATTCATCGACTACCGCGATAAACTTAGTCTTCGTATTCGTCACATATCCATATCTATTCCGAAGATCGACGAAAGTAGATCAGGGTGCGCATTTCATCAGGCTTCTTTCCGAATGATACATGTGAAGATATACTTCGTACACGTACAAGGTAGTGATTTAAATCTAGTGTAATACTTCTCACGGACGATGATCATATCCGCACAACGCATGGCAAGTACAGAAAAAAAATATGGCACTACCGCAGCTGGTCTGTCTCGTGCCAATAGAAATCGATCAGAATACCTTTTTGAGTTGCAGAATCATACTTTTACGCCTACTGAACTTGCATTTGACATAATTCTCATTCAGTATTCACCAACACAACCATACTCAAAAAAAATATAAAAGTTTCCGACAGCTTTGGCGAATGCGCCAACAAGCAACGCATATTCATGCAAACTCACTAACTCAGCGAGCAATCACACTGCTAAAAATCCCTCTCCAAAATCCGCGTGCATCCCAGATATAATCTTTTTCTATTTAAGACCTATACGGTAGTATCCTAGCAGAGATCTAACATCGTGCAAGTAGCAACTTACACATTATATTCATCTGCAGGCGTAAGTAAGCCCAAATACAGATCTGGCGAGTCTGCCTTC